CCTCTTCCCCCACAACCCCTACACACACTCTCTCACACACAGGCTGGCGTGAGAACGACCTGGTGCTGCTGGAGGTGTCCATCAATGGGGAGCGGGTGGAGCCGCTGGCCGCCATTGTGCACCGCGCCACGGCGTACAACATTGGGCGCGCGCTGGTGAAGAAGCTGAAGGAGGTGATCCCGCGCCAGCAGTTCCGGGTGCCCATCCAGGCCAGCATCGGCGCGCGGGTGCTGGCCTCAGAGGCCATCCCCGCGCTGCGCAAGGACGTGCTGGCCAAGTGCTACGGCGGCGACATCTCGCGCAAGAAGAAGCTGCTGCAGAAGCAGGCCAAGGGCAAGAAGCGCATGAAGGCAAGGGGGGTGAAGGGGGGGGGGGGGTGCAAGGGGAGGAGTGTGCGAGGCACGAGCTGGAGCGACGAAGGCTCCCGGCATCGGAGGGAGGAGGTGATGCACAGTGAGGTGGCCTCACCAGCGAGGCCTGGGCAGGGCCAGGCGCCCTGGGGTCAAGCACCGTGCTGGTGGGCAGGCCTCCAGGCGCTGTGCCTCCAGAGCATGACGCCGTGCTTCCAGCGTCGCACGGTCTCTTCCTGCCCCGAGCACGAAGCCCGACGAACTCAGCGCACCCCCTTTCCCCCTTCCAATCCTCCACGCAGTCGCTGGGCAAGGTGGACGTGCCGCAGGACGCCTTCATGGCGGTCCTGCGCATCAACCGCACCGGCGGGGAGGACTAGCCTTCGTGGGCGCGGCGGCGGGAGGGGCCCCACTAGCGCCCGGACGGAGCACGGCAGCCCCTCAGCGTGGCTCCTGGCGCCAGGGGCCCTCCAGGCGCGCGGCGGCGTCCCGCAGGCCGGCGGCCAGGGCGGCGGGCGTGGCGTCCTGGCGTGCCAGGTGCTGGAAAGCGCAGCGGAGGATGAGCTTGTGGTCGAAGGCCAGCCGCCCGGGCACCTCGGCCACAGGCCACCACTGCAGCGGCGGCGGCATGGGGAAGTGTGTGGGCGATGCACGTGCCGAATGCAGAGGGTATCTCAGGCACTGTCATGACCCGCCAGGGGCCAACCCCTGGGTGCACCGGTTGCAAGCACGATGGGAGAACAGAGAGCCAGGGGCTGTCGCTCCGTGCACGCAGGTGTGCCCACGTCTGACCGCGAGGCGAGCAGCCACCTCCCCGCTCCCCCCCCACCTGGGCCTCCTCGGCGTCGTCAGCCCCCAGCACCTCGGCTTGTGCGGGCAGGAGCGCGGCGTAGGCCACGCTGACGCACCAGCCCCTGGGGTCCCGCCCGGGCTCGCCGAAGGCCCCGACCTGTGTGAGCCCCGCCTCGCGCGCGCTCAGCCCCGTCTCTTCCTCCAGCTCGCGGGCGGCGGCGGCGCCCAGGTCCTCCCCTTCGTCCACAAATCCGCCTGTGCGGGAGGGAGCGAGCATGCCGTGTCTCCTGGGATGGCTGGCTCGCACCCAGCACGCGCCGAGCCCAGGCACCACACAGCTGTGCCGTGTGCCTGGGGCTAGGCACCCCATGCACCCCAGCCATACCTGGGAGGGCCCAGCTTCCGGCGAAAGGATCGTTCTTCCTGCGGATGAGCAGGACCTGGGGCCTCTCCTCCCCAGTCACCATTACGGCATCCACGGTGAGACCGGGCCGGGGGTACCTGCAGAGGCGGACACGGTGGGTCTGGGGTGGGGTGCGGGGACAGACTGGCGCGCACTGACGGATGACATGGATCCGCATCTCGGAGCTCCCAGCGCACTGATACGTGTGGGTCCCAGACATAGCACGCGGTGAAGATCGCTGCGCGGTGCGCGGGGGGGTCGCGGGCTTCGAGACCAGTGGTATTCTCGACCACAGCGACCGCAGCTGAGAGAAGGGCCCAGCAACTCGTTGCATCCCAGCACAGAGTCGGCAAACAAACGAACAGGCAGCGTCTGGGTCGCGAGGGGTGGGGTTACTGGCATGGTGTCCCGATGGCGCCTGATCAGATGTCATCCAGGCGCGGGCGCTTTGTGGTAGTTCAGACCCATCGGAGAGAGCTGATCGCCCCGGTCTTGAAGTCATAATTGTTCTCCGAGAAGACCCCGCATCCCCCCAAACACCATAAGGAGTAATAAGCAACCCTGAGCTACGCGCCTCGACCCGCCTGTTCTCTGCATCTCACCTCCACCACCCTCCTCTCGATGGGTTCAAGGCAGCCTGTGACAACGCTCCTGACCAGCCTAGGGCGATTGGCCAGGCAAGCACGAAAATGCGGTGGCAGTGAGGCTCAGGAACATCTGCAAACACTCCCGAATTTTCAAGGCCAGGCAGCCCTTTCCTGCCCTCAACCCTCTTTGAGCTCATAACCCAGGGGCACACTCGTCGCATGGAGCTGCCGTCACTGCCATCCGCCTTCCCAATCTCAGATTTGTGGAAGGATCTGCGCAGGAGGTGTTGGAAGTTTTGCAGCCAGGTCCCTACAACTCACCTGCGCGGTGGACAGCTGAGTCCCGAGAGGCAGCGGCGGAGGAGGTCCGGCGTGCTGTGGCGGAGTGGGAGAGGCGCCAATCCCTCAGACAGCAGAGGCCTGGCCCCGCCTGAGGCGACGGTTTGATCGCTTGATCAGCGCTTCACCCTCCAGCGAGGACCGCCGCACCGGCATGCATCCCTGCTGGACTCCACGCAGCAGCAACCCGTTATGCGTGAGACCCCACACGTCTTACTCGGAGCCTCCCCTACATGCTCTGTGTTCCCTTGAAGTTGCTTATGCAGCAATGCCAGACCATCACAGAGTACTGCTTTGTCATGTGCTCGACTTGGAGAGCTGAGGTCGGGGGTAATGACCGAATACAGGGTCCTCCTGCTGTGATCCTGAGAACCTTTATGCCTTCTTGTTGATACAATGGATGCCCTCGTGTGAGCAGAGCATAAAATCAAGGGGAAATTTGGAGAAATGCGCATGCTCAGGTGTAAGGATGATCTGAGTGGATCGGGGTGTGTGCTCTGACAGGGGAGGAGGTCAGCACAACAGTATGTCGGTCATAAACCTGATTGCAGCCGCTCAGTGAGCCCCAGCCAAGATCCTTGCACTGTCCGAGTGGCTCCGGCATGCCTTGGGCGACGACTTCGCAATAGAGGCTCACATCTCCCACAAGATGCTGTGTGTCGTGCACCTGGGTGTGCTTGGCAAGGATGGTTTGGCACAAGCAGGGTGACGTGCATGTGGGGCCCAAGCCTTGCAAGGGCCCACCACATGGAGGTCGTCACGAAAGTCAGTCCTTTTGTGGGGAGGAAGAGGCGCGATGATGGGAGTAGCTCCAGAGATCTGTTCTTTCATCTCAGTCAGCAAATTCTGTAACCGTTGATGTTTAATACCCGACGTTGGCATACAGGGCCAGGGCATCCTTGGCAAGCAATCTGCATCAAGGGTAGCATGCGCTCTTTTTGTAGCTGAAGATCCTGCGGACGCTGATCCTTTGTCCAGAAGGTTGCCTGAGGATACTGAAAAGGACATAAAGAAGCACAGCCAGATTCAGGCTGCCAAGGTGGCTCTGCCAACAAACATCTCCGGCAGCTTTGGGTCTTTTCCTCAACCAAACTCCCCCGCTGAGCTTGTAATACTCAATGTTCGCCCATCCGGCGATGGAGAAGGGTGCCTGGCGAATAGCCTATTATTTACTGCGATATCGCGGTACGGAAGGTCACCTCGCGAGCATTCGAGGCTGAATTTGCACGAGAGAGTGTCCCTGAAAGTGCAGTGCTTGCCAATGGTGGCTGAACATCTTTTGGGAGGAGGCGACAGCACCTACTGGGACTCCTGAGCGGACGAGGGAGAAACTGGGCGTATGGGCTGTTTCTTATTAATTACTGGCACTCTCAAGGGGAGCTGGATCATGCACCGTCAGAGTAATTCTCCGGAGATTAAATCCGGACCGGATTCCGCCGGGCAGCAGTTTCCCGGGATGGGAGCGTGAGCCGGTTAAAGCGGTGGTGGCGGTAACTGCATGGGTAATTTGGAGTAGATTGAAGGTCCCGCCTGGCTACCGTTGGCAGCATCAGAATTCCAGAGTCTTCACGAGATCTCGTGTGCTGATCGCTGGCAGACGCTGCAATGACCTGCCGCAGTGGCGCACTGCGGGGCGGCATTGCTCTCTTCTTGAGCTCCTTGCTGGTCCTTCATGCAAGCATGACGGTGTGTTAATGTTTATGATGGTGTAAATGTCAAGTGGACATTTGGAAACTCTGGAAACTGCCCCGTTCGTGCTCACATTTTGACAGTAATGGACTTACCACCCAATCGCAGGTGACGCTCGCTCTAGGCCAGGAAAACTCCCCGCCTCCATCTCCACCACCTACAATCATCTCACCTCCACCACCTGTTCCTATCGCACCTGCTCCAGATTACGTCTCGCAGTCTCCGGCAGCCATTCCCCCGGCACTCCCCTCCCCGGCAACAACCCCTGCGTCGGTGTCCTCCCCGGCAATTACCCCTGAAATGAGCCCATCCCTAGCAGCCAGCCCCGAGTTCCCACCCTCCCCGGCATCCATTTACGAGTCCACCCCCTCGCCGGCATCCAGTCCCGAGCCCAACCCCTCCCCGGCACCTTCTCCCATCACCTCATCTTCCCCAACAGCCGATCCTGAGTCCAGCCCCTCCCCAGCAGCTACCCCTGAGTCTAGTCCACCAAGTGTTGATGAACTTGACCCCCCTCCCTTAACCATTCCTGAGCCTACGCCCTCCCCAGAGCCCACGCCCTCTCCTGAGCCCACACCCTCTCCAGAGCCCACACCCTCTCCAGAGCCCACGCCCTCCCCAGAACCCACGCCCTCCCCAGAACCCATGCCCTCTCCTGCACCAGCTCCCTCTCCTGCACCAGCTCCCTTCCCCATTGTGAGCCCCTCGCCAAATCCAGCCAGCCCAAGCCCAACACCGCCCTCTCCAAAGAAATTTCCCCCTCCATCTCCACGCAAGTCTCCCCCACCTCCACTCAAGAGGTCCCCGCCACCTTCTCCAAGGAAGTCAGCCCCACCTCCACTCAAGAGGTCCCCACCACCTCCTTCAAAGAAGTCACCCCCACCTCCACCCAGAAGGTCTCCTCCCTCCCCCAAAAGGAAGTCACCCCCACCACCCAAGAAAAAATTCCCACCACCTTCTAAAAAGAAGTCTCCTCCCCCTCCCAGGAAAAATCCTCCCCCCCCACCGCGAAGGAAGTTATCCCCACCACCTGCCAAGAAATCCCCACCACCTCTCAAAAAGAAGTCTCCTCCCCTCCCAAGGAGGAAGTCTCCCCCGCCCATCAGAAGGAAGTCATCCCCGCCTCCCAAGAAGAAGTCGCCTCCTCCCAAGAAATAGTTCCAACATCGACTTTGTGCCAACCTTAGAAGTTGCCCTCAGAACTGGCGATGTTGTCAGTGCCCTCTGTCATACCTTTATTCCCTGGTACCATTCTGCCAAACAAAGGTCTCTCTGCTTCGTGTGGGCATCCCTGCCTACTTCATGCCATCAGCTTCGGTAACTTTTGCCTCGGTATTCTCTGCCGTTCTTTCACCCATCCAGTCTCGTGAATGGAAGTAATCATTTTCTTGGCAGCTCTCAGTCATTGCAGTGATGTTCAGGCCTTACAATTCGCTACAGCTCAGTCATCCTGTAAGAAAGCCACTGAACTCCACACAACCTTGGAGAGAGAAGGAGTTGATTCAAGGTCGCCCCATACAGGCGTCATGAACATGGTGAGGGGGTGCAGGGTGGTATGAGAGATCTGGGACGAACGCCATGGCTGGAGGCAGACTGTAGGGGCTCCTCCGGTGTGTTAGACGGCGTCAGGGCTGGAATCCTGATGCAACGGACCCTCAGCTACCCCAGCCTCTTGGTACCCCTGCAATGCTGCCCGATTCAATCAGGGTGTTATGAGTCAAGCCCTTCAAACAGCCTGCAGGGTGCACTCTGGTACTGACACATCTTTCTCATTAATCGACTGGAGTATGCAGCGCGGTTATGTGGTTTCCATGTGGTCTGACATCCATATGTAGGGAATAATTACTGCCACCAATGCTCGTGGGTCCTGCTTAAGCTCCTGGCCTGACTTGCAGCCTGGATAACAAACATATATCACACATGCGTGATGCACGAGGCTTCACTTGCTGTACTTGCTTGTGTGTGCTTCTGCCTGCTTGGCTTTCACTTAACCAGCGTGTGCAGCAATTTTATTCAACGATGGAGTTCTGGTGATTCTTCCGACGGATCTGAAGGGCCTCAGATCGGTTGTGCTGCCTGTTAAGAGGGATCTCCTCCTGTGCTCATCAGAGCCATCAGATTCTCTTATTGTTAAGAACCTGTATGCCGCTGGAGGCTTGAAACATCAATCAGGCTGAATATCCGAGCGATAAATGCTGAGGCATGAGGATGACTAGGATGAAAGAATTGCTGTGCTTGAGGATTGATCTGGATCGCCTCAGCATCACACCAGCCACAGATGTACCTGTATCTCCCCGTCATCCCCGAGCCGGTGATACCGATGTGCTCGAAAGATTTTGCAATCTTCCTCTGACCACCTTGTAAGCGACACACACGCCTACTAATTGATACTATGCGCCATTCAAAGGCCTGCGCCAGTTTGTGGCGGGTTGGCACGAGTAGACAAGGAGCGTTGCAATTTCAGCCCTGCGAGTGCCAATCAAGCGGATGTTTTACTGCGATCAATGCGATCAAGGGGCCGGGAGGCAGGGCAGTATGGTGGTAGAGGAAAGCACCGCAAGATATCTGCCATTTCCATTGGTCAGCGTCATCCCAACTGGATTTCTTTGAGACCTGATCTCGGCAACAGGCCCCAGAACCCTCAGCAAGAACTGGAATCCTATGAACATGCTCTCTTTCGAAGCTTGCTGCCCTGCAGAGCCTTAATCCATACGTCCGTCAGGTTTCCGACGGGGTGCTCAACAGACGACGACAGGGACAGCCAGCTTCAAGCAAGGAGGATACCCC